CGCGAGCCGCGGCCGCGCCCGAGGAGGGCAGCGGTGGAAGCGCCCCCGTTCCCGCCCGGCGCGGGAGGGGCCTTCCCGGCCTGCCAGGGCCCTGCGCCAGGGGAGCAGCAGTCCTAGTTAGGAAACCCTCGCTGCTTTTAAGTCACCGCCCTTCACCCCCACCGCAGGCTGCAGAGCCCCGGGGAGGAGCACACAAGGGCTCGGGCGCCCGCCCTGCTTCGGGGAACCAGCCTCAGTTGTCCCGGGCGCCTGCGGGCCCTGGCGCTCCGGCCCTTTCCCCCCGAAGCTGGTACGGACGATGCTGCGTGACACCCCTCGGGAGGGGATGCACGGCCACCGCGCGCGCCGCCCGTGCGCGGGGGGCTAGATGGCCCGGGGCAGCCGGGCTCTGCTCCGTGCCGCCGTTCACGTCCGGAGCGCTCCCCTGGGCTGGGAAGCCCTCGTTTCCCGACTGCCCTTCTCGCCGCCTCCTCCCCCGGCTCCAGGAAGAGAAACCGGAGCCAGGCAGGGCCCCGGGAGAGAAGGAAGTCGGGGAAGCTCGGAGGAGAGCGAACACGCCTTCAATTCCCCTTCCTGTTTTTCTTGCAGGTGCTTGGAGGGGAGCGGAGCAGAGCGGCCGTCGGGACTGGAACGATGTAGGTATTGGCACGCCAGGCAGCGTTGCTTTGTTGGAGTCCAGATGCACAACCCACCCCCCCGCTCAGGCTGATAGTGTGAAGGGCTCTGGCTTTCCAAAGAGGCACCTGGGAGCTTTCCAGCCTCCGTGCACGGCCCTAGGGCCAAGTGTCTCAGGCTGTTGGGAGGGCAGGGACAAAGGGGGAGGCAGCGCAGAGGGGACGAGCGCCTGGGGCCTGGCGGGAGACCTGGACGCAGGCGGAGGCGCGTCCCAGCCTGGGGGAGCAGAAATCCCAGGCCGGGGTGTTTGGGGGGTGAGCACCAAGTGCGAGCCAGACCCAGGCATGAAAGCGATGCCAGAAGCAGGCGTGCAGAGAACAGGGGCAGGACATCGCGGGTCTCAGAAACAGCCAGAGGCGTCAAGTCCCACTCCTGGAGCCCGGCGGGCTCCATTCCTAGCCCCGAGCAGGCGACCCGGGGCAGAGTGCGGGAGCCGCTCCAACGGAGACGGGGCCAGGACGGGCTCTGGTTCCTCCTCAGGCCAGCCGCTCCCATCCCTGCTTCTCCACGACTTGCCCCAGCCTCGGTTGGCTGCCACTTCCACGTGCCCCTCTGTCCCCATCCTGGCACCGTCCTCTTTGCCACCGCCCAGGTCCTGTTTTTAGCCACTGCCCGAGTCCCATCGCCTGGTTGCTGCCTGGTCCCTGGTGGTAGAGGAGCTGCAGAGCATCTGGGCCAGAGCAGAGCCAGGCACCTGCTTCCAGACAAGCCTGATAAGAGTCTGCTCAGCTTGCGGCCGTATCCGGGGAGCGACACGGCCCCTGCCTTGCCCAAGTCCTACCCGAGTCCTGTCTCGGTGCTGGGAAGAGAGGGGTGGAGAAAGGAGGGCTCAGCCCCACCCAGCGCCCCGGGGGAATAGGGCACTAGTTTTCCCCTCCAGCAGAGACTCAAGAGGCCAGGCCTGGTCTGCTCAGAAGAGAGGTACTTGAGAGCAGAGAAGGCTTATAAACTATTCAACAGCGAAGGGAAAGTTTGGGGATTTGTGCTGGACTCGCTCAGCAGACAAGAACGAGGGGTCACAGCGTGACACGAGTTTGAAACGGACACAAGGACTTTTTTTTTTGCACCCAGCGTGGTATTAAAAGGGTGGGACCTGCGGCCACCAGTGTCGAGAGTCCAGCCAGATCCAAAGAGGCTGGGAGGAAAGTCACTGTGGAGCCGGGAACCAGGGGCACGGAGAACTTCCTAGGCCCTAAATGGTGGAGGCTGCAAGGGGGAGGGGAACGGGGGTGGGGGGGACCCTGCTCAGACCCAGCCTCCACTCTCTGCTGCTCGACACTGGAGACGGGGCAAGACGGAGCTGGGGTCTCGCCTAGTCCGATCGTCTGGGCTGCGCTTCCCCCGAGACCTCAGAGCAGAAAGCCCCTAACGCCCTCCACTTCCTTGTCCTTCCAGAGCCGGCTCCGAGCGCCACGTGCCAGCATGAGCGACCGCGCGGCCCAGGCAGCGGGCCCGCAGCTGACGCCCTGCTAAGAGGAGCCCGCGACGCCTGCGCCGGCACTGCCACGCTCCGACATGTAGATGCGAAGACGAAGCCGTCGCTGCTCCCCCATGCCGCGCGGCAGAGCCCGCCGGGCCCAGGCGCGAGGATGCTTCCGCGTGGCCAGCCCTCCCCGCCTCGCCCCTACTGACCTGCATGGTGTGGGTGCCCCTGAGGACTGACCGCCTGGCCCCTCTGCACGCCTCTTGCCGCCGCTTGCCCACCATGTCTCTGGAGTGGCTGACGGCCTGGAGCTGGTCGCTGGACGGGCTGCGGGACTGCATCGCGGCCGCCATCCAGTCAGTGCGGGACTGCGACGCCACGGCGCTGGCCACGGTGGCCTGCCTGCTGGTGCTGTTCGTGTGGTACTGCTACCACGTGGGGCGGGAGCAGCCCCGCGCCTACGGCACGGTCAACGCGCTGATCCAGAGTGCCGATGCCAACGGGCTGCAGAACGGGTACGTGTACTGCCACTCGCCCGAGTGCGTGCGCTGCACGCCCAGCGACGGCCTTAACCAGAAACTCTATCACAACCTGCAGGAATATGCCAAGCGCTATTCTTGGGCCGGCATGGGCAGGATTCACAAGGGCATCCGCGACCAGGGCCGCTACCTGAGCAGCCGGCCCTCCATCCAGAAGCCCGAAGTCTTCTTCCTGCCGGACTTGCCCACCATGCCCTACTTCTCGCGGGAGGCGCAGAAGCACGACGTGGAGCTGCTGGAGCGCAACTTCCAGACCATCCTGTGCGAGTTCGAGACCCTCTACAAAGCCTTCTCCAACTGCAGCCTCCCGCAGGGCTGGAAAATGAACAGCACGCCCAGCGGGGAGTGGTTCACCTTTTACCTAGTGAACCAGGGCCTGTGCGTGCCCCGGAACTGCAGGAAATGCCCACGGACGTACCGTTTGCTCGGGAGCCTCCGCACCTGCATTGGCAACAACGTCTTTGGCAACGCGTGCATCTCCGTGCTCAGCCCTGGCACCGTCATCGCCGAGCACTACGGGCCCACCAACATCCGCATCCGGTGCCACCTCGGTACGTAGCCGCCGGCATGGCCCGGCTGTCTGGTGGGGTCAGGGGTTTTGGGAGGATTTGGAGACTGTCCAGGGAGCGGCCAGCAGTCCCAGCAAGGGAGGCAGGGCAGGGTCTGGTAGATGGGAGTGCAGCTGCAGCAGTCGCGGTCTCCAGACCCCTGTGCCAAAGTTAGGACTCCCTGGCTGAGGGGGCACAGCTGGCCCGGAGAGGTTGGGATGGATGGCAGGGGCTCGTGGAGAGACATAACCTGGGTCTCAGAGCTGAGCCTGGCCTTGGGGAATGGGAAAGGGGGTGGGAGTCCCCTTCCCTAGCATCTGGGCACCCCCACCCTGCTGCCAGCCCAGCTGCCAGGCAGCGAGACCCTGCCTCTGTGCCCCCATCCTGGCGGGGATGCCCGCGTGCACAGATGGCCGGGCTCCTGAATGTGCAGCGCCAGCGCTGGGGGGCCCTGCTGGCAAACACGGCGCATGTGCGTTCAGACTCAAGCTGTGATTTGCCTCTCGTGCCTCGGGGAGATGCTGGCACCCCAGCAGCCTGGACACTGGGTCCGGAGCTGGTTGCAAGTGCCATGGGGCCCTGGGGAGAGAGCAAGCATGGCTCGCTACCCCCTTCCCCATCTTGTCCATGAGAGGGGAAACTCTCTGCTTCCCTGTGCCTTTAACTCCCTCTTGGCCCCTCACTTAAAGGCCTGGGTCCTCCCTGCTGCCAGGAACCTGCCGTCAGAGCGGGTCCTGTCCCACTGGACTGGCCACACACAGCCTCAGTGCTGGGGACAAGCCTGGCACATCGCTGGTGGGAGCCGGGTGCACATCTTGCAGCCCTTGGAGGTGGGCACGTCAGCCCTGTGGCAGCAGCTGGGCCTGGGGGCGATGGCGAGGTGGGTTTGGGGGCAATGGCAGCATCTCCATGGCTCTGGCACATCCCATGTGATGCAGCCTCTGCCTCACTGGGGTTTGACCGTGGAGGACAGCCCCATGCACATGGGAGGCAGAGCTGATTTGGCAGCTGTTGCTGTGCCAGGTACCAAGCTCGGGTCTCGGGGACAGCAGGAGGGTGAAGGTGCAGGTCACTGCTGCCTCTCCCAGCTTTACAGCCCACCGCGGGGAGGAAAGCACTGGGGACTGGCTCCGGACACGTGCCCTGGGCTTTGCACGCAGCAGCCGGGCAGCCCGTAGGGCAGGGCAGCGAGCAGGGCCGAGGCAATGTGGTGCACAGCTTCCTCCGAACTGCCCTGGGAGTGGTGCAGAGGCTGGGGCCCCGGGCCCACGGGGGCTGGAAGGGTCCCCCCCGCTCCCTGCCTTGATGCCCGTGCTTTCCTACTTACCCGCAGGTCTGAAGACGCCCAGCGGCTGCGAGCTGGTGGTGGGTGGTGAGCCCCAGTGCTGGGCCGAGGGCCGGTGCCTGCTGTTCGACGACTCCTTCCTGCACACGGCCTTCCACGAAGGTGAGCGCCGAGCTGCCTGCGCCTTCTCCATCCCGTGGCAGCGAGCACCAGGGAGCTGCTCCTGGGCGCAGAGCTCCCGTGGGCGGCTGCGCCCCTCCATGCAGCGCCGCGGCATCACTGCCCCTTCCTCCACGGCAGTCCCGAGCACCGTGGTGCTGGGAGCGCAGCGCTGCAGCAAGACCCGGGTTGCGCGGACAGTTCAGTTCAGCTCGGGCTCCTGGTGCCGGCAACAGCCGCCTCGGTGCCTGTGTGCCCCAGCCCTCGGGGGACGCTCTCACCTGCCCAGCTGCCGGCGTCCTTATGGGTCTCTGCGGCATGCTGTGG